TTTAAGTAAGGAGGCCAAAGGCGTCAGACCCTGAGGTTTTGAGTGTTTGGTTCCCATAGCAATGGAGTAGGTGGAAAGAAAAAGGAGAGTTAAAGACCTCAGCTGGTGGGTAGGGGAACAAAGAGGAGGCTTTTTGCCCTGAGGGGAGAGAGGTGGAGTCAGAGAGGGGGGGGAGTGAGAGAGAGAGAAAGCAGGAAGAGAAAGGTTTGTCTCAGGTCACTTAAAAACGAGAACGAGAAGAATCAGGTAACAAAAGAAAAGCATCCTTTTTTTCTATTGCTGATTCGAGTTAAATTCCCAAACCTCAGGGCAGCGTCCTGCAATCACTGATGGGGGGGGATACGAGTTGTGCGTGTCCCCACCAGTGACCACAGCATCCTGTAGTCAAAGGCAGGGCAGAACCTCCCACACACCGGTGTGATTTCGAGCCAGTAAAAACGAGTTAGGAGAGGTTCTGCAATATGGTGTGTGACCAGCCAGTAGGAGCCAGCGTAGAAGGAAACAAGGTAGTGGGCCTGGAGGCCGAGATGGGCCAGGAATGGAGAAGAATGGAGAGGCCTATATGAAGCTCAGAGTAGCTAGTGAATGGAGGGGGAGGAGAGAGAGAGAGAGAAAGAGGAGAGAAGATGATATGTTAGGGGAAGGCAAAAGATGGCAGGAGCGAGGAAGGGAAGGGAGCTGAGGTAAGGAAAAGGATTTGAGTGTGATGGGGAGGCAGGTCTGACTCCCAGGTGGGCGTGGACAGGCACAGTAACTGTGCTGAGCAGTTCAACAGTCGCAGAAACCAGTGCTGTCCAGTGTCCATGAGTGAGGTCTGGGAGTGACCGAATTTGATTGGAAAAGAGATGAAAAGAGAACTGGTGGAGAGTAGTGAAGGGGAAAGGGGAGAGAGAGAGGAAGAGAGAGCTGAAAGGAATGGGAGAGGGGAGAGAGATAGAGAGTGGAAGTGTACCTTAATGCCGAATTAGTGGTGTTTGCAGAGGCCAGTAATGACAAGCGAGTCCGAAAGTTTTACGTGCAAGGTCCCTTGAAGTAAGAGCCGGGTTTTGGCACCATCTGATAGGTAGAGAGCAGGTGGGAGAGAGCAGCATGGATGGAGGAAGGCACCAAGGCACACATGGAATTCTCAGCGGGATACAGATTTATTTCGCATGCACGGGGCACCTTTCCCTTGGGGAAGGGAAAGATGTCAGGGAAAGGCAAGGAAGGCAGGGAAGGGCAGGGAAGGGAAAGATGTCAGTGAAGGGAACGGAAGGGAAGGATGTCAGGGAAGGGAAAGATGTCAGGGCCGCCCACAGGTTGTGAGCTGGGACTTTATATATGGGGGCTTTAGGGTGTGGAAGGGGGGAATGTTTGGGGGAGAAATCAGGGAGGGGGAAGCAGGTAGGATTAGGGTCTGGAAGTGTTTACTTTTTTCCTCTTAAGATAAGAGGAAATCTGCTTATCTTATCTTTGGAGGTCAGAGGAAAGGCAGGCTGCTTCTCAGCAGAGTTTGTTCTTCTTGACCTCAAAGGTCAAGGTGCTTATCAGCTAAGTACTCTTTTCCAGGCTCCAAAGTCTGTAGGTCCCTGTTGCGGAGGTGGGGAGCTGCTATTTGGAACCCTAACAATAGAGACCATATAATATAAATTTTCTATAGAAAAATATGCCTTCTTTTAAAATATGAACATTAAAGTTAAAAAGTGTGGGAATCAAAATGAGCAAACTTTCCTTGTGTATAATATTGATAACCACTAACAGAACAAGCATGAGTTTTTCCTGGTGAATTCTTCACCTGGCAGTAACTTCCTTACAGCCCCTTTCATGGTCTCATTCCTCAGGCTATAGATAACAGGGTTGAGTAAAGGAGGAAGTACTGTGTAAAACAAAGAAAGCATGAGGTCAAAGATAGTTGGAGAGTCTGAGGTTGGCTTTAGATATGCAAAGGCTCCCATGGAAAGAAAAAAAGAGACCACACACAGGTGGGGCAGGCAGGTGGAGAAGACCTTAGACCGACCTTCAGCAGAGGGCATTCTGAGGATTGTGGAGAATATCTGGACATAGGAAAAGGTGATGGCAATGAAGCAGGCAAATGCCACAGTAGCAATGAAGGCAACCACTCCAATCACTCCAAGGTAATCACCAGAACAAGAGAGCTTGAGCAACTGGGGAATATCACAAAAGAACTGGTGGATTATTTTAGCTTTGCAGAATCTGATAGAGAATGTGGTTGCTGTGTACAAGGTCCCTGGGATGCCTCCACTTATCCACACAGCTGCAACAGCCCACCTGCACATTCTAGGACTCATGATGATCTCATAGTGCAGTGGGAGGCAGATGGCCACATAGCGGTCATAGGACATCACTGTGAGAATGGTCACCTCAGCCCAGGCCAAGGACATGAGGAAGAAAACCTGCAGCACACACTGAGCATAGGAAATGTATCCACTCCCATTCAGGGAATTGTGAATAGACTGGGGGACTGTGACAGACAAGGAGGAGAGGTCAAGAAGGGCTAGGTGCTTGAGGAAGTAATACATTGGAGATTGGAGCTGCGGGTCCAGCGTTGTAATGGTGATGATGATGAAGTTACCCGCCAAGCCCAATAGGTACATCACCAAAAAGAGCAAAGCATGTAATATCTGCAGTTCCCGGTTGCTGGAGAACCCCAGGAGGAGGAAGCCACTCACTGTAGTTCCATTCATCTCCAACATTTTGAGATTAGAAATTGTGAGAATAGTCTGGAAAAGAGTAAATACAGTAGAAAATGTTCTAAGAATTTTTGCCTTTGTTCATTATGGCTTAATTAAACACTAAATGTTTAAATGTTTATTATGCAGCAGTTTTGACTCAGTGGTGAAATCCAAAGGCTCAAACATATTTCTTACAGAAACAGACTTTACTGATAACTCTGTGAAACATATAGTTACAGTTTAATATCAAAGTGGCCATAGTTATTGGTGCTATAATGCAAAACAAACAAACAAACAAACAAATCAACCCTATTGTTTCGCTTTAAGTCACTGTCTTACTTCCACAGAAATGCCCATTTCTTTGGTTTAAAGTCAGTAGTAGAAATGCACTGAAAGCTTTTCAATAATGGAAGAAAAATTTTGTCTTGGGCACATTTCTGTCATGCACTGCACTTTATTAGTACAGAGATGATCATGTAGAGAAAAATATGACTTTGGATCTAATGCATAATTTCTTGTGCCAGGTGGTACTGACTCCTTCATAGTGAACTTTATTGTGAAGCCTCACAACAGAAAGTGTCTTGTTATTTATATTCCAAATACAGTTTTAGGTAATGAACCTGTGCTGGAAATCAAGATAAAAATGCTGTTGCTGAGAACAAAGTTTCCTGTGGCTCACACTGTGTTTCAGTTGTTTGCCCACAGTATCATCTGCCGTTTGGAACTTCCATGTTAATTTTCACTGCACCTGGCTCCTCTTGTTCTCATTTGTCTTCAGTTGCATATTGGAATAATAGCTTGTCATGAACTGCAAAGGGACAGTGGCAAATAAAGGAAAAGTGGTTTGACATTAGGAAGGAACATTGAAACCTCCAGTGTGTAATTTCAGACAGGCAGTAGCTGAACTATGATCCAACTTTCTGATAAGTGAGAAACCAGGCCTATTCACAGCCAGAGTTTGATATTTGTGGGATGAAGTTAACCAAGCATTCTCTCCTATGCAAATATACCTTGACATTGTAGGTCTGAGGAGTAGCCACTGAGGACTGTCATCTTCCTGCGAGTGTTCTTCTATGTGATATTGGGCCACGACTCTAAAAAAACTGATCTATCTTCCTTGCGGTGTTTATTCTAGAGCCCTCCAAATCATGTTGTATGTTTTCTTGTATCTCAGTAATTCTTCCACTTAACAACAATGTCTGGGAGTATCACCAGCCTTGATGTTAGCACTCTGCCCCCAAATTTTTCCCATGAGATAAGCTAAGGCCAGTCTCTTCTGGAGAAAGACAGACTTTTTTTTACATTTTCATTTTGTAAACAATGATCTAGACATCAGAGATTTCTCTTTCTAGCCCCTCATTTCTGGTAGAGTATATTGATCTTGATCCTAATACACTTGGCTACTAGTGCCAGACAAGGTGGCAGAAGCCTGTTACCTCACCTTCCTGCTGTTCTTTCAGGAGCAGGAGCAGCTTGAGCTCATAGTGGGAAGCTTTGAGGAAGTGAGGGAGAAGGAGGTGTTATTCAGGCAACTTCTTATAAGAATTAAACTTTAGAAGAACCATCGAAACAAACCTCTTCATTCTTACAAAATATTGCAGTTACACATCAATACTTCTAGAATTACCTCAGAGTTAATGATTTCCTCAAAATCTCATATCATGTAAGGGAACCATGAATAACTGGAGATCAGAATTATGCTCCTAACATTTTCTTCCTAATTTCTGCTGCATTCTTCCCAATTTTCCTATGATAAACTGTCCATACTTAATGTTTTAAATAATCTACTCTTTTTATTTTATGTGTAAGAGTGTATTGTTTGCATGTGTGTAAGTGCACTCATGTCATGCATTGCCCACAGAGGTCACAAGAAGGTGTCAGATTCCCTGGAATGGATTTACAGATGGTTGTCACCTACCATGTGCATGCTGGACATTGAACCCGGGTCTTCTGAAAGTCCAGTCAGTGCTTTTAACCACTGAGCCATCTCTCCAGTTCCATGCTTAACATGTTTACAATACAGAGGAAACCAGAATACTGAGTAACATATCATGCTTGTTTTTTTGAGACAAACACCATCCTCGAGTCCATCCTCAAACAAGTCTCCAGGAACAGGCAGTTTGACAACTTGCTAATAAGTATTTGAGTCTTGTTTTTTTTTATAGGAAATGTTAAACTTCAGAATAGTAAAGTAGGAGAATTGCAATATGAATTTTTTGAATTCATTCATCTTCTTTCATTTAACATCTATAAATGTGAAAGTAATGGTTGTAGGAACAATGGGAGAATTGCCACATTTACCTGACAAATATGATCAGTTTTTGTCTTTGCATTGGTGAGCACTGGAATGGGTGTTTTACAGAGGCTTTTCATACATAAATTTGTAAGTCTCTCCCATCTTCCCAGCCTATTTGATTTACTAGAATGGTTCCCTCTGATGATTTGCATATATGAATTAACTACATTGACTTTATCCAAGCCTTTTCTGTAGGCTTTTCTTTTCTTTCATGCTAGACTTGAGTCTCGGCTATATAATTTTAGTTTGAAGATTATAAAGCACTGTCTGAATATCTATGGAATTGTCATTCCTCATCCAAGAATGGAAAACTTACCCCAGGTTGTGTTGGTGTCTGGGAAATCCATGTCCACACCAACAGATTTTTAAATGCTATTATTTCCCTTGGGTATAAATTGGCTTTAGTTACTTTAATGAGAAGTTATAAGGTAGGGATCATTAAAATGCAATTCTGAACCTAGTGATGTAAATTCCTCATTTTCTTTCACTCATTCTCACTTGGGACCAGGAGCCATTAAGATTTCCATATATTGGGTGAGGGACTCAGTGAGCCTGAGATTTACTTTTCCCAGGTTTAGCTTTTCTCAACTTAGCAGGTCACACACATGGAGAGCTATTCATCACTTGGAGTCCTGCGTCACAGGCTCTGTGATTCTGACTCACTGTTCTCAGGAGACATCAAAAAGCTGCTTTCCTGACAGGCTCCCAGGCCCTGATGCTTCTGCTAATATGAGCATCACAGGTAGAGAAACACTGTATAGGTAAATTTTGCATTTTTGGAGGCTAGTAGGAGACTTGAAACATTTACAAGAACATGGATTCTCTGTTGTCTAATGTCATGAAAAATAATAGATCCTTGAAATTGAGATCTATAAAGAAATTTAGTTTTGGTTATACAGTGTGACTATTCAGGATAATTATTATGTCCACTAATTGATCCTAAAATGTATCTAGCAACAGTACTCCACAAGGTATTCCAGACTATAGATTACATAAAGAGTAATTTATAAATTATCTTTAAAAAGTATTCAAACATTTCAGCAGATCAAGTTAACAATAGGTGCCCCTGATCCATGAGAGATAAAACTTGCTTTGTGTGGGTCCTTCCCTTCCCTCATGGGTCATTGGCCACCCATCTGCCAGGACAAAGGGAGCAGAGGCGATGAACAGGGTCAGGATAGCCATAAGTACGACGGAAAAAGCTTTCTGGGAGACAGATTCAATGAGACAGCTCGTTTATTCAGTGGGGGTCAGGGAAAAATATAGGGTGAGGTGGCAGCCAAAGCTTCACCTGATAGGTGATCATAGTATGTTTCTTTACATGTGGTAAGGGACCCTATCTTGCGGCTATAGTGCAATGCTTATGTATCATACAGAAAAAACCTGGGGGCAGTTTTTGAAGGTAACTATGCCAAAGGTCATGTTCAAAATAAGACCAGGCATCTGTGCTTAGAGACACTTTCCAAATAAGGTCAGGCAGACAGCAGGAAGCCCCCACTGAGAAAGGGACAGCAGTGTTCCCCAACATCTCCCCCTGTTTGGTTTTATAATGGAGAAGTGCCATCACAGGCTTTAAGAGCCAATTCATGGGCAAATCCAAGGTTTGATAATTGACCATGACCTGATTGCTAGTAATTTTAGCAATGGTGGCAATTTGTCATCCAAGAAATTGTATGAAACAGGGAGCAAGCATCAGGATAACACATAGCATAATCGTGGGGCTATTGATATTGTAATATTCCCCTCTCTGAAGAGGTAACCCCAAAATCTTTTTGGATGAGAGTTCCCAAATACTTTTTATATTTTTGGCCTTTGGGACAGAGTACTTTGCTAAAAGGCCCAAGGACATTTTGACTTTTAGCCAAGAAAGAAACTGGCTACTTTTCATTGGGGTCTTTTTACCCTAGCTCCCTAGCCAATTTCTATCTCCTATTCTTATCATACCATCCTTTGAAGAGGTTTACCCAAATTGCCAATAGGGAATTGGGACACAGACCACTCTGACTTCTTCCTTGCTGAACAGGGATGCAGGGTGAGGCAACTGGGGTACCCCCTTCAGTAGGTCTATATAAAAGACTCCCAAATTGCATAACTCTTAACTATAGGGAGAAAAGGAAGGTGCTTGACTGGTGCCTGGGAGATGTGAAGGAAAAGTAAAAGCAAGAGTAGTTAGTATTACAATTTCTAGGCAGGAAACCAGATAATGTCCAAATTAAAATCCATTGGAATTTTTGGTGTGGGCTTTCAAAGGCATCCATCTAATGGGTTCCTCCTCATTTTTCTTTTGCCTGCCAAGGCTGGACTGATGATCGATGAACCCAGGATTTTGTCAGGCACTTTGATAATTGTTGGAGTTGCCAGAATAAACTCCCTCTTAAATATCCTATAGAAAGAGAGAGAAAACAAATTTAGCCATCATTTTAGAACAATAGTGGGTTGTTTCCCTCAGCTGCAGGTGAGCATTACAGTATTGTAGACCAAGAATTGAAGTCTTATAGCTGAGTAGCATTGGCTTACTAGGAACAAATCATTGATGAGAAATAATTGTCTAAATAATATCTTATAAGAACTTAAGTCTAAAGTCTGGGATGTGTAATCGCTTGAACTATTAAAGAAATATAGTGATAACTTTAATCTTTGGTTGTACATTCCTTTTGGGTGTTTAAGACCATACAGTTGTCCCAAATAAACCAATTTATTTTTACTTCTAAGGTTGTTTGTGGAT